CTAGTGGAAAAATAATTTCATGTGCTAATTACAGCATGCTTGTCATTCTAGTATGATAGGTGAGGATGAAGATGCATATAGTGATTCAGAAACCACTGAAGCCATGTCTCCAGATGTCTTAGCTAAGAAGTAAGTAGTAAAGCACCTTCACTTACATAGTTTTTAATTGTACAAAGTTATATTTTACCTTGCTTTACTTCTATAAATATAAAAGCTTAAGTTTATCTAATTTTTGTGGATTCAGAGGGTGAGGGGRGCAGTTCTGGGGAATTAAACCCAGGGTCACGTATGCTAAGCATATGTTGTGCCACTGAGGAACATCCCCAGTCCTTATCTAGATTTTTCATACCAACTGTTATAATCTCATTTCTTGATTAAAATAAATGTATGCAGATGGCAGGAAGATTAGAGTACCTAAACTGAACATGTTGAAATGTGTCTTATTTCCTGTGGATTTTTTTGTTTTTTCAATATTATGTTATCTGAGTTTTAATTTTTAGCKAATTCCTAAAAGCTCTCTTCCTTTTCTATCACTGATTTCTTGTACCCATCCCACTGTTCCTTTTGCTTTATTAGTTTCTACAACCAGTTTTACTCATTTGCTTTTCATTTTCCGTRTCAGGTTATAGCTAGTATATTAATGATCTTCAGATGTTTTCATGAGTCTCAAAAGTTGATTAAGACAAATAATATAAGGATATCACAGTCTTAACTTCTTTGTAAATGATTGTTATATAGATTATCTGCTGCTGAAGGCTCAGAACCAAAGTATCAGTCTCTGGAACACGAAAGCAGTGGAGAGGAGGATAGTGAACTCACACCTGAAGAACAAGGTAATTTATTTCCTTTTCTGCTTTCAGCATGAAGCTTATAATTTTTGCAAAAAAAAAGAAAAAGAAAATTATTTGGAAGATTGGAAAATGGTTTTCATTTTTGGGAAGTGAATGGTAAGAAAATGGAAAGCAGTATTTTTATAATTCACATTCTGCCAATGTGCGTTTATTATATAATGTCCCCCTCCCCACCATTTAAAATATTCCTGAGACATTTTTGTCATCTTTACAGCCATTGTAAGTATTCCTTTCTTTGTACTTTTTAGTGTCTGGTACATTGTGAATACMTGTTAAATTAATGCTGCCAGGAATAGTAGTACATGCATGTAATCCCAGGGACTGAGGAGTCTGAAGCAGTAGGATTGTAAGGTTGAGGCTAGCCTCAGCAATTCARTGAGACCCTCAAAAATAGCAAGAATCTGTCTCAGAATTTTAAAAAATTAAAATCTTTTAGAAAGGATGTAGCTCCAAGCTAAAGTGCCCCTGGGTTCAACCTCCAGTACAGCCTGTGTAGAAATGTAATGCTCTCAGAGTCATTGAGTGTTTGAATGATCTTGAAGTAGATAACTAATGCTCATTTCCTTCTTGCTCATTCTTTTTCTGTTTTAAGATAGTGGTACATTTTATCAAATGTGCCAAGATGATCAGTGTAGAGTGAATATCTATATAGGRCCCATAAAACAAAAAGAGAGACAGGTGCAGTAGCGCACACCTGTAATCCCAGTTGAGTCCWGGCTAGGCAATTTAGCRAGACCCTGCCTCAAAATAAAATATAAAAACAGCAGGGAATGTAGCTCAGTGGTAGAGCACCCCTGTGTTCAATCCCAGTACCACTTAAAAAAAGAGCAGCATTGTCATATTTGACCAAGGAGATGGAAACAGCCATTTTTTTTAAACAGGAATGGAAGATGCTCTTATAGTCCGTACAGTATTTATACAGTTAAGGCATTGCTGCCTACTCCCAATTTCTGTTTTTACAACTGATAGTGACTATCTGTGGAGGTGGGGAAAGAAGGAATATATTTTACCTTGTTAACTTTTTATACTTTGTGAACGTGTAAATGTATAGTCTTCCCAATAATTAATAAATTGTATACAGTTGACCCTTCATAGATACAGATTCTATATCAGTGGATTTAATCAACCATGGATTGAAAAATATTTGAAAAAAAAAAAAAAGTCTGTACTGATCACATACAGATTTTTTTTTCCTCACTGTAACAATATTGTATTAACTATTTACATAGCATTTACATTGTATCAGGTATTTTAAGTAATCTAGAGATGATTTAAATTATACAGGATGTGGGGAAATTATATGTAAGTWCTATGCCATTTTATATAAGTGACWTGAGCATCTGAAGATTTTGGTGTCTGTAGGGGATCCTGGCACCAAACCCTCAAATACTGAGGAATGATGATATACGGTTTATTTTCAGTTTTTCTTAAAGGAAAAACAAAGAACTGGGGGGATGTAGCTCAGTAGTAGAGCACATACCTAAAATGCATGAGACCCCAAGTTTGATCTCTGGCACTACCAAAAAAAAGAAAACTAGATGTATATGGTAAAAGATTAAAAAAAGAAAGAAAAGAAAAAACATACACATGCTTTACAATGTGGAGACTACTGTACTATAAGTAAATTTAGAAACATTAGAATTGACTCCAAATATTTGCTAGTTATCAGAATCTTTGTCATGTAYAGCTACTTAAGTATAATTTGCTATTCTTTTTATCTTCAGAATATTGCCAATTCAATGAAACTTTGATGGTGTGAACCTAATATTTATTCAAAAGAGAAATTTTCACTTATCTCTTCTAAATGTYTTCCTGACTTGTTTTTTCAAAATATACCCAAAAAAGCCTTTGAAATGGGATTTCAATAGAAATTATTTCTAGGTTTGGTTCCTCATTATTTTTCAAAAAACAGGGAATTTTTTTTTAACGTATATTGAAGAGTTTGGATGATCTTGGTAATTAGGGATGTTTCCTCAAGTTGTAGTTACATGAGGAAGCCTCTAGGGGGTGCCATTTGACTAATTTCATAATTTCAGGTCCCACTGATAAGAGTTAATAAATTATATAGGGAATTTTTTTCCCACTTTTTAATTTTTCCTCYTTTTTTTAGTCATCCCAATATTAGTACATGTGGTATCAAATCAAGCACTGATCTTTCACTTTAAACAGTTACATGTCTGAAAAAAAATCATTGCTTATTGATAGATTCTCCTTAGATTATCTTGTAATTGATAGCACAGCAATTAAGATTATTGACTGTGGAGTCTGACAAGCCTATGTTTGTGCTCCAGATATGCCATTTGGCTGATTTGCTTAATTTCTCTGAGCCTCAGTTTAGTTTAGTTTTGGTTTGGGGGGTTGTTTTCTTGTTGTTGTTACTATGTATTTAACCCAGAAGCACTTAATCACTGAGCTACATCCCCAGCCCTTTTTAATTTTTTTGAGACAGGGTTTCACTAAGTTGCTGAGGCTACCCTTGAACTTGCTATTCTACTACTTCAGCTTGTCACAGGGATTCCATTTGTGTGCCACTGTGACCAGCCTTGGTTTCTTATTTCTAAAATGAGAGCCATAAGAATACTTGTTTTAGAGTTAAATGTGTTGTGGTGYTTACCTGAAGTGCCAGCTACCCTGGAGTCTGGGCAGCACAGTGAGACCTCCATCTCAAAAAAAAAAGTTTAATTTTAGAGTTGTTGGTGGCAAATGAAATAAAGCATTTAAAGCACTTACCGCTGATCCCGGCATATTATAAGTGCTTAGTAAATGTTAACTTTTAATAACTTAAAATAATAGTGATAATCYCCATAAAAAGTAAAAGTAGATAAAAAGCATAATTCACTTATTGAGTTCATATAAATTGACTATTATTAGAACTAGTTCTGAAACTCAAATGTTCATTTACTCTTTGCATTATGTTGCTCTGCCATATAAAGATTACAAATATAAATACTAATATTCAGAGAAGCCAGGTGTGGGGGCATGCACCTATAATAAGCAACTTAGGAGGCTGAGGCAGGAGGATTGCAAATTCAAGGCCAGCCTGGGCAACTTAGTGAGACCCCCATCTCAAAAAAATTAAAACATAAAAAGGGCTGGGGATGTGGGTCTGTGGTAAAGCACCCCAGTACCACAGATAGATAGCATTGTGGTACCTTTCTTTCCTTGCCCTGAATTTCATCCCCACTGCTGGAGAAAAGCAATAATTCAATGAAATCTTTACAGTGGTGATATTATTTTCATTGGTAAACAGTTGGCAGTATGACCATTTCTCTTTTAATATGAATGTGGAGAAATGGGTTACCTACATCCTATCAGTGAGTTGAAAAATGATTTGGCCATTTGTATTTTTACCAATATCCATTTATATCTGTACACATAAAATTACAAAAGTAAAATTTGCACAAATTTACTGAGCTTTATGTGATAACATTTCAATTTATCTTGTTTTATTTCRTCTTTTTAAATGTTGATTGTAGTTTACTAAAAATGCATAATGTAGTTTGGAAAACACTAATTAAAGTTAATATGAGACTGTCCTGGGAATATTAGGCTATATAATCATCCTGATATAATAAATGAAAAACAGACTTTAAAAATGGACTTACTTAGTATATAATTCATTTTTACAAAATATGTATTTAGAGAAAAGTCTGGAGTTTTAAAATGTTGTTAGTGGTTCATTTCTRTTTTCTGTGGAGGCAAGGAAAACTTAAGGAATTACAGGACAATAAGAAAGTATTTTGAATACCTTTATTCTGAGTGATGTCTCTATGTCTTTTTTGAAATTAAAATAATTCAATGAAATCTCTCCCTGCCCTTCAGTTCTGAGATGTGAACATAGGGGTACTTTACCATTGAGCTACATTTTTATCCCTTTTTTATTTTTTACTTTGARACAGTGTCTTGCTAAGTTGACAAGGATGTCCTCAAACTTGGGATCCTTCTACTTCAGCAGTAAAACTGGAATTACAGGTCTGTGCCACTGTGTCCAGCAATAATTCAATGAAATMTTTACAGTGGTGATATTATTTTCATTGGTAAACAATTGGCAGTTTCATACTGACCCCCTTTTTCATTTTTATTATTGGTCTTAGAAATTTTAAAATCTGGGCTCACAGGTACACAGCAGTAAAGAATCCTTTTAAAGTGCTATKAGTAAGAGGCTTACCAGTTGTGTTGAGTTGCTGCTAACTTTGTTTCTGTGGTGAATACTAGAATCATGGCAGTTTCAAAGAAATTTTTTCTTAGTTACAAAAATAGAAATCATGAAAATACTACAACTATTCATAGTTCCTTTTCCCAGAAATAACCACTATTAATCATTGAGTTTTATTTTCTCTGTATATGTGTACAGGCTTTATACATATTTCTCTCTCTCTCTCTCTCTCTCTCTCTCTCTCTCTCTCCATAACATAACATATAGTGTCCTAGCTTGCTCTTTGCCCTTTCAGTTCTTGCAAAAAATTTTCCTTTATCTTCACATTTTTTTTTTTTTTTACAAACAATTTGCAATGGCTCTGTCTTATTCCTGTTCTTCCATTGAGATGTGTTTGAACCATTTTAAAGCAGAGGTGATAAATTTTTTCCATGAAGTACACAGATAGTAAGTATTTTAGATTTTTTAAGTTTTATGGTCTCTTAAATGATTCAATATTGCCATTTAGCACAAAAGCAGCCTTAAACATGACAAAACCAAGTGAACATGACTGTGTTCCAGTAAAACTTTACTTGGAAAATGGGCTTGGGCAAATCCTTGAGTCAAGAATTTGTAAGCTTTTTTTTTTTTTTCCTTCTTGTATGTTTTAGAAAAAAAGCGACAATTTGAAATGAAGAGGAAGCTTCACTACAATGAAGGACTGAATATTAAATTAGCTAGACAACTAATTTCGAAAGATCTACATGATGATGAAGATGAAGAAATGTTAGAGACTGCAGATGGAGAAAGCATGAATATTGAAGAATCAAATCAAGGTCAGATGTTTTAAAAATATCACTGAGGCTTGTGATTCTCTATGACTAAGATAATATACTTTATKTGGCTTTATACTTATCAAAAACCTCCGAAAATTTTGCTGATTGGCTTTATTATTATGCCAGTGTTTCTAAAATTTTAATCCTGTGGCCAATTTCAAAAGAAAATTTTATGCCTAGAGTTGATTTAAGAGCACGTGTTACAATATATGTCTATTTTTTCTTATAGTTTACTTGGCTTTGTACAAGAATATTTATCTTATATAAAAATATATAATATATATCTCTGTCTRTCTATCTATCTAGTCCTCCCTATCCCCACCCCCGGGCTCCAGTACTGGGGATTGAGCTATCTCCCCAGTCCTTTTATTTTGTTTTRTTTTGTTTTAATTTTGAGATAGGGCCTTGCTAAGTTTCTGAGGCTGGACTCAAACTTGTGATCAAATTTGCCTCACTCTCCCAAATTGCTGAGATTACAGGCATGTGCTACCATGCCCAACATCCTCAGTCCTTTTTATTTTTTTGTTTTGAAACAGTGTCTCATTAAATTGCTGAGGCCGGCCTTGAACTTGGGATACTCCTKCCTCAGCCTCCTGGAATGATGAGATTATAGCTGTGTGCCACCATGACTGGCTGTTTTAGTCAGCTTTTGCATTGCAATGACCTAAATATCCAACAAAACATCATAGAGGAGAAAAAATTATTTGGGGCTCATGGTTTCAGAGATCTCATCCACAGGTGGCTGACTCCATTACAGGGGAAGAGCCTTGCCAGGAAAGCTGGGCATTTAGAGCCTTGCACATGCTGGGCAAGTGCTGTACCTCTGTACTACACCCACAGACCCTATTTTTGATCATCGGTTATTCTGGTATTAAACAAAGGTGAATATTCTACACTATCAGTGAAGTTTTTTGATACCTACTACCTACACTTTGTATTCACAAACTACTGCTTTTCAGTAGTGTAAATTATTTTATTTGTGGTGCCTAAGATAGTTAAGTTACAGGAAAGTAAACAATTATTATATTGTTTGGGTGAGCATAGTATTAAATATGAGTAATTCTATGATACAGCCTGATGAGTCACTGTCTTATTATAGTGTCAGGATTACAATATTTTTTGTTATCCATATTTGCTTTAGCCTTTTGGTATGATTCATATAGCATTTCATTTCCATTGTATATGCTATAGTCTGTTTAACTTGAACAGATGTCATCTTAAGGARTATTTATTACATATCTCTCTTCCTTTTTAAAAATATATCACTTAGTTTTTGCTTTCCTAACTCCTAATTGCCCTGGGGTCTTTGTTTCCCATTTTACCTTTATTTTTTTCTTCGTTGTGATGATGGGGATTGAATCCAGGGCCTCACACATGGTCAAGTGCCCTACTGCTGAGCTAAATCTTCAGCCCTTGTGGATTTCTTTTGTTGATGTGTTCAAGTGAACGTTTCTTTGTTTATAATTTTTCACCAACTTCTCAGACTTTCAATACCCGACTTTCTTTTTAGAATAGATGCAGTTTTTCTTTTAAGTTGCTGAGGCTGGCCTCAGACTTAATTCTCCGACCTCAGTCTTCTGAATAGCTGAGATGCACAGGCATGCACCACAGTGTCTGGCTTTGTGTGTGTGTGTGTGATATTGGGGATTGAACTTACTGTGTGCTCTTCCACTGCATCGCCAGTTTTTCTTTTTTTTTTTTTCTTTTTTCTTTTTTGAGAAAGTTTCATCATATTACCAGATTGGCCTTGAACTTATGGTTCTCTTGCCTCAGCCTTCTAGAGTAGCTAGGCTTACAGTCAGGCACASTTGTCTCTCACTCAGTGTCAACTCTTAATGAAATACCCCTCATTACTGCTGGAAGTCTTTACCCAGCACCACTTTGTCAAAGAATAAAGGGATTTTTTTWAAATATTTATTTTTTAGGTGTAGATGGATACAACACAATGCCTTTATTTTTATGGGGTGCTGAGGATCGAACCCAGGTCCYACCCGTGCTAGGCGAGCACTCTACCGCTGAGCCACAATCCCAGCCCAGATTTTTTTTTTTTAAACCTAGCTTTTGAAAAATAACTCTGAGCTTTTGTCCATCTCTGCCTATAAGATATTAAGTTTCACACATTTAATGCGTATCTTTTTCTATGTAAGTATAAATTTTAAAATTTATAGCTCAGTGACTAGTTTTTTTTTTTCAGTGTACTRTTTACAAAGGAGTAATTCTGCTTAGCATTATGAAATTCTTTGGGGGCTCTTAATTTTTTTTTTAAGCCAGCTTTTAAATCTCTGGGTTCTATAAAATCCATTACTTCTTGAGCATTTAAAGTCTTCTTCCTCTTCCCCTTCCTTTTACCTACCCCCTTTCTCTCTTTGTTTCCACCTGTTTTATTGCTGTTTTTGTAAAGAAAAAAAAGTATGCAGAGTCTAAGATGTAATATTTTATAGTTTTAAGATAAGAAATATAAATCTTTTTTTAGCTTTAGGTATTTGTGTTATCATAAACTCTCCACTGAAATTTACACACAGAACTATTCAATCTGAAGCCTGTTTRTCCTATCACCAAATATATACATATTCCTGATATGCCCTTTAGAATATTAAGGGGTRCATAAAGATTTTTTCAGATCAGTCTAATTAGGCCTACAGGTTTTTATGTTTGCTTATTATCCATAACAGTGGAACGGAGCTTAAGCTCAAATAGTTCCAGGATTAGCAATATGCTGCAAATTATGTTGACTTTTTTTCCCTTTATCTTTGCAGGATCTACTACAAATGACCAACAGCAAAACAAATCACAAAATTCATAGAAGAGATTTGTTCAACATTGCAGTTGTTTGTCAAATACAAACCCTTTTACTATAATACACTGCTTCCACAATTCATGACTTAAGTACCAAAATGCATACCAGTTATTATATATTGCCAAGAATTAAATGATAACCTTAGAGACTGATTAGACTGAAAATGCCTAATTAATGCATATATTCTTGTGCCTCRTACTTCACCACAAATACAGTGTAATGTCATCAGTCCTAAACTGCTTTAGTTTTGTAAGAACACTGGTTAATTTGTATAAGATATTGTAGAGCTTTTTATGCTTTAGAGGTTAAACAGCGTCTTTGTGGGGGAGGGGGACTAATTTATTTTCATCACTACTAGATGTGATACCTCTTATAAAAAGTTTGTTGGGTTTTTTGTTTATTTTTAACAAAAGTTGATTGGAACAAGAAGATATATAGGCTGATATATATTCAGGCTGAAAGATATTTTAACATTTGTCTTCAACTTGATTTTTCTGTTTGAGAAAGTTTATAAGTATTATTGATGCATATTCTGGCCTACTCTCTTTAAAATTCCTGTTGAGTTTCTTTGTGTTTACAAGGAAAAGATTGAATTTTTTCTCCTCAGAACTAGCTTTTTTTGACAAATAAACTATCAGGTTAAACTTGCACTAATGTCTGCTCTAACTGCTTGTTTTGGTACACTAAGCAGACCAGATCAGTTTTTTTTTTTCCAATAAATATAATTATAGGCATCAGTATTCCCTTTACATACCTGTCTTAACTTTCTGCTTTCATATTCTCCTCCTTTCTACACATACGCATACGATTGTAAGGATCACAAAGTTGCTACAATAATGACATTCTCATTTTGGCCATTAGTGTTTAATAGTTCTTCTGATAGATGAAGAAWATCAATTGAGTAGCAACAATACTATAGGCAGGAAATAAAATTCAACTGCTCAGTTTCTACATCTCTCTTATTTACAGTGTGGTAATTAAATTGCTATTATTAGTTCATTTGACTTAATTAGACATTAGAAAACAATTGAGGCTTTTTTGCATGATGAGAGAATTATATGTAAYCAGTGATATAATTGTTCCTGAATGTACAGACAGAATTAAGCCTGAACATTTTTTATTTAAAAWTTTTTAAATAGTTCCTGATTTAAGGGAATATGATAATGTATACTATGACAAATGTACTTTATTCTTCTAACACAGTAGGAATTATTTGGTTTTTGTTTGGTTCTGAAATGAAGTGCAGTTCTTGTGTATCTTGATTTAATGGGTTTCATTTCTAGTCAATTATTTGTTTCTTAATTTTGGTTAGTACCAAAAGAATCCATTATCTGAATAGACTTTTAAAATAATTTCTGTATATTATATATATATATATATGAAATGGCTTTTAGTGAACAGCTTATCTTCCACTTGCAGGTTTATGGAAATATCCGTATGTTGAAGTAAATAAAAAGTGGGAGGATTCTTTGCTGTTAGAAGAATGTGCTTATTATTTTGAATGTCATGGAATCTAATCAAAGTTCCTCTGAAATATAGTGTGGTATTTTAATCATTTTAGCTTAGTAATACCACTGATTTATCAGCAAAACAATGTTTATCTCTGTTTTGTGTTTAGTCTATACACAAGTGTGTACATATGTTCATACACCCTGACCTCTGTTTTTGGCTTCCTCTTTTTCAGTTCTTAGAAAGTATTCACATACTCCTAGAATTAGCTGCTGTACAGTGAAGAAAAATTAAGACTTTTTAACAACTGATTCTTTTTTTTTTCCTACAAACCATTTATTGAAACTTAAAACTTATTTCTAGTTTCAGAGAGTAAATAATTATCTCATAGGAGTAAGATTTGCCAGATAGCATGGTTGGTAAGATTTTAGATAGTCAAACACTACTAATAAGAATGTTTTTGTCAAATTATGAGTTCCTAATTGACCTGGTATTGGATAAGCAAAAAATGAAACTTTGTGGACTTGAGAATATAGCTCAGGGGTACCTTTCTAGCATGTATGAGGCCCTGGGTCTGATTCCCCCATATTGCAAAAAAATTAAATTTTTTAAAAAGTAAAGCTTAGAAAGTAATTTKTATTTAGTTTTAGCCAAGGTAGATTCTACTCTCAGCCTTATTTCTTCTGCTAAACTCTTTAGTATCAACTAGTGTGTTTATTCATTTTTCAAAGTTCAGAAATGGTTTCTTAAAGTGGGTGCTAYTTAACATCCCAGCAACTTATCAAGACCCTGTCTCAAAATAAAAATGGCCTGTAATGTAGCTCACTGATTGAGTGCCTCTGTGTTAAATCCCAGGACCATGTGGTGGGGAAAATGTTTTTTTTAAATCTAAGACTTAGTGGTATAACGTGATTGTTAAAATAAGAATCAGTTGAAGATTAAAACAAAATGCCATTTTCCTCCTAAACTTTCATTTTGTTCATATTGTTCACTTTCAGTTAGTRTGTACTACACGTATTATACAGTGTCATATACTGTGTGTGGATTTTATTTTACTAGCCAACTATCTCAAGATCATATTCCACTAATCAAGTAGACTTTGGACTCTCTTGTGGCTCAGTAGTTTGTTTAGTTGTTGTAGAATTGATAACAAGAACTACCATTTATTGAGAACCTATTATTATTTGCACTTACCTAACATAACATAGTACTAGGTCCCTATCTAATCCTTAAAACTACCATGCAAAGCAGGCATTCATTCTTACCTGTTTATAAGTAAGGAAAATGCTCCTGGCCAAGTTACTCATTTTTCATTGTCTCACAYCTGCTAAGTGACAAGGTTCAAATCCAGATGTAACTAAATTTTCATGGTCTTCATCAATTTTTTTTTAACTGTAGAAAATTCATTTTAAAAATTGTACCTTACAAATAAACTTTATTTGGATTATTGATTTGATACTGTATGATTTAAGCGGATTATATTTCAGGTATTTAGTTTGAGTTTCTGTTTTTTATTTTAGTCTGAAAAATTGAAGATAATTTTATTTTGTTTGCAGTTTTGTAGCATTTAGGAAAATCAAGAGCACAATCTGCTCAGGAATGTCTAAATGCATGATTGGTGTTATATTACACAAGTTTGTTTCCAAGCAGACTGTTCAATACTCACTGTGATTTCTTTATTGAATCAATGTTAGGAAGTCACATACCAGTCCAGCCATAAAAAAACCAACAYGTAATAACACTTGCCTGGTATGTGTGAAGGCCCTGGTTTCAGTGCCAACACTGAAGAAAAAAAAAAAAAGTTTCTAATTGGCATTTCCCAATGTGTTACATGAAAAGAATTCCATGAGCAAGTAAAAGCTCTGCACATGCYATATACTTTATTCTCCTACCATCTTATAGACATAATGTGTCTTACATCAAAGAGTCCAATAGTAGATTAGGTTATAGCTCAGTTGTAGAACACATGCTTAACACATATACCATCTTTGGTTTAATCACTAAAACCACAAGAAACAAGAAGAAGAAAAGTGAAAAATAAAAGGTTTTAAAAGTCTTGATTAAAGAAAGAAACTTGGTTAAAACTTGGTTTAACCTCGAATTCTTCAAACTTACTTCACAGTAACCACCCCACCTTGTCCATCAAATAATATTCCAAAGGAGGGGAAGAGGCTAGAGTTTTAACATATCAAAGTTGAACTTCCTCCAAGAATAAGAAGAGAATGGTTTGTTTAGAATTTGCCGAACATAACTTTTGGCAACTTATCCAAGAAACAGTAAAATGTGTATCCAGGACAGATGAGGGTGTGGTTGATGTGGCTACTTATAAGCTGCTGTGGTTTAATACTGATATGACTCTTGCTCCAAAATTTGCTGTTCTAAGCAGTTCTCATCCTTGTCATCAGCTCTTGCATGCATAGCCAGTTGACAAGAGCACATCTGCTACTCATTGGGAAAAACAGAACAGAAAATAGAAGCCAGATAGCAAGTCTGTGGCTCATGTCCCTAAACCTTGGTTAATTTGTTTTGTTTTTTAGTTCTTATAATTTAAATTTGGATTTGATTCATCTGAGTTTTTTTTATTTGAGGAATTATTGGGGGAGGTAATGATGAGAATAGGTAAGTGAGGGTGGATTTGGCAAATGTTCAGTCATGATTTTATATCAGCTGCCCAGCCTGAAWTTTTTTTCAGTCTATGTCTGCCAAGTATTCAGCATTTCAGTTCTATTACTAATGGGAATTATTGGGATTGGAAGAGAACTTCTGTAAATTGTTGTTCCCCTCTGTTCAATTCTTTTGGAATTGATAATAGTATTGACTAGAAATAGGATTGTACAATCTGATTTTTTGTATTTTATTTTCATTTGACTCTCTTTTTAAGCAAAGGGAATTATAAACAGCTTTGCAGTATGCCTTGTTCAAATAAAATGGTTCAATCTGAAAGTGTTACCAGTAACAGAAATAACCCAGGAAGAAAAAAGTTTTATTACATACTAGTTAACATTCAGTGGTCTCTGAAGTACCCCAGTATGTAAGCAATTATTTAATTTTCTTTTTATCTCCCTATATAAAAGAGACACCCTCTTGAAAAACAAGCACTTTCTCTAATGTAGTGYACCTTGCCAAGCTAAATGGGGACTGTGGACCTAAGACTACTACCATTAGAGATTGTCAAGTTTAGATATGCATCATAGCAGAAGGAACACTCCTTTGGGAGAACAAGGAAGGAGTAGGCATACACTCATCCTCCAGCCATCCTGAGGAGGCCTTTCTGGCACAAAACTGGGGAGGATGAACTTAGCAAGACTGCTACCTAGCAGATTTTTGTATGAATTCCCTTAAAACCAAATTTAAGAGCTCTTTAGTCACCTACCACTAAATTGTTACTAAGCAACATGGAACATTCCCACAAAAATCAGAAATGTCAAATGATATATTTTTTAACATCACTGCCTAATACAAAATTTTGTATTTCAGAAGTTGAATCAGATTTGTGGAATATTGCCTTTTTAATAATYTCTTAAGTCACTTTACTAGGAGACAAGAAGGGGCTGGGAAGAGAAGGACAGAACTGTCAGTCCCACTCAAGCTTGAAACTATCTCAGGAAATATACTGTCATCCAGTGCTAAATTTGGCAAGTATCAAATAGATACCCACTTCCCTACTGGTATGCTACAAAGTAGGATTTGGGTTTTTCATGGTAAATCACAAAGTACATAATCCATTCTAGTGGATCATACTAATCTCTACCTAAAAGCAGCCCCAGGAAAAAAACCCAGTCAACCAAATCACAAAGTGAATTGGACCCAAAATGGTGTTATTCTGAGCTTCAAGCATTGTTCTGTATATCTAGTTATCTGAAATTTTATGGTTTGCACGAGGACACACTGATAAATAAAAAGTTGAAGGGAAAGGATGTTTGTTTATGAGAAAATAAATATTAAGTATAAATGTGTTCATGTGCTCAGAAATTCTGGTGTGCAGTGTGCACAAAAAGGCAAATAAACCAAAAGCAAAATATATAAGTGAAATAAGAACATAGAGATTAGCATGYCTGTTGCTTATATAAGATGTCTTACGCATATCAAAAACACCATGTTCAAAATAGCTCTTTATTGTCCCCCCAAATTCTGAATTGTTTTATTTCCCACCCCAAATCAATAATTTGGCCCCACCTCCCTCAATCATCACATTCTCTCAAGTAAAGATATCCAGTCCATTAGGAAGCTTACTGACTTACCCCATCATGTATTTAAATCTCACCTCCAGTCTCCCACCATAGACATCTTGGTGAAGCCACATCATATTTCTTATATTCCTGTAACAAGCTAATTTTTCATACTTTCCCATTTTCATATTGTCCCTCTCCAGTCCACATACACAGCAGCAGGTGTTGCTAACCTCTTGAAAGCCCTTCAGTAATGTCTCTACCATTCTTTTTTTAGTTGTAGTTGGACACAATGCCTTTATTTTATTTATTTTTATGTGGTGCTGAGGACCAAACCCAGCACCTCACACGAGCTATGTGAGGGCTCTACCGCTSAGCCCCAGCCCCAGCCCCTGAGCCACAACCCCAGCCCCTCTACGAGATTTCTGAGAATGGTTTCCAAAAAAAAAAAAAAATACACAACACATCTACTGGCCCGACCTACCTCTTTTTCTTAAAGAGAGAATTTTTTAATACTTATTTTTCAGTTTTTGGTGGACACAACATCTTTGCTTGTATGTGGTGCTGAGGATCGAACCCGGGCCGCACGCATGCCAGGCGAGTGCGCTACCGCTTGAGCCATATCCCCAGCTTGGKACCTACCTCTTAAATGAAATCTTGTGCCCTCTCCTGCTTAATTATTACAGTCATAATTTTTTTTGTTTCTCCTGTTAAATATCCCATCCCTTTCCAGCCTAGAAAGTCCCCCAACCTAAAATATTCTTTAGTAATTTTTCATATGACTTTATTCCTACTATTCTCAAATGCTTGTGKTTTTTTATTTTGTTTTCATGTGGTGCTGAGGATCAAACCCAGGGCCTCCCCCATGCTAGGCAAGTGCTCTACCACTGAGCTACAACCCCAGCCCCTCAAATCCTTGTTTTCTTATCTGGTTGGTTTGCTTGATTACTGCCTGACTTTGTAACTAAATAGAAACTTTCATGAAGACAGAGACACTTTTACTTAACTACAATATTCTCAGAGCTTTGTCTGGGTCARTTCAGTAGAAGCCTCAACAAATATTTGTTGAATAATGCAAGGATAATACTTGTTCATAATGTGATTTCACTTTGTTCTTACCATTACTCTTTCCTTATATACTTACTGTGTGACTGTTAGAACCAGAAAGGATTTTAGAAATCAACTAGTCTAATTTCCTTGTTTTTTCAGAGAAGACAATTCAAACAAAGTCAATATTACCCAACTGGTTATTGACAGAGAAATTAGAACCCAGTTCTTGTGAATCCTCATTTTCACAATAAATCTATCTTTGGATGAAAACACTGTGGTGCTGTGTTGGCTTCTTTTTTTCTATTTTTTCAGAGTTGGAAGGAATTAAGAATCAAATCATTATTCAGGATAATCTGAAAATATGCTTTTGTGCACAAGTAAAATTTCTCAAAACAACTGAGGCCTACTAACAACACTCCAATATTTAAATATTTTAGAAGTAAATCTTGGTAGAGAATGGTGTATTTTCCAATATTCACAAACCAAGAGACCCTAGACAAGCTTTTCTTGTTGGATTTATTTATTTATTTGTTTGTTTATTTATGTCGGAGGCATTCAACCACTAAGCCATATCCCCAGCCCTATTTTGTGTTTTATTTAGAGACAGGATCTCTCTGAGTTGCTCAGTGCCTTGCTGTTGCTGAGGCTGGCTTTGAACCCACAATCCTCCTGTCTCAGCCTCCTGAGCTGCTGGGATTACAAGTGTGAGCCACCACACTCAGCTTCTTTTTCCAGCTTTCTGTCTTTGGTTCTAGCTATGAGAAATTACCAAAACCTTCACACCAGGATGAATTGTGTGCAGGCCTCCCTGTCTTATGAAGGGCTTTAAAGATTTTGGATAGAATATCAAGTCCAGTTCTGTGGTCCAACTAGAACATGAGTTGAAGAAAATTATGTGACTTTAATAAATTTTGTTTTTGAGAACAGTCTTAGGCTCACAACAAAACTGAGCAGAAAATATAGAGAATTCTCAAATACTTTTTGCCCCAACAAACAGCCTCCATCTGCTATCAAAATCCTGCATCGAAGTCCATAGTTTGCAGTAGGGTTCACTCTTGGTTTTTAAACAAATATATAATAACTGGAAAATCCTCTGTGCACTACTTATTTGTCCCATCTTCCTCCATTGTCACATAGTTGGAATTGTACAGTATGAAGTCTTTTCACGTTTGTTTCACTTAATTACATGCATTGAAGTTTCTCTTCCATGTTTTTTTTGTTTTTGTTTTTGTTTTTGGCAGTGTCAAACCCAGAGCCTCACACACAGTAGGCAAGCACTCTACCACTGAGCTACATCCCCAGCTCTGTTTAATTTGGTTTTGAGATGTGGGTGCTTCTCACCAAGTTGCCGAGACTGGCCTCAAAGTTGTAATCCCCCTTCATCAGCCTCCCAAGTAGCTGGGATTACAGGCTTGGGCCACYATGCCAAGTTCCTCCATGTCTCTGTCTTGATAGCACATTTCTTTTTAGTGCTGAATAAATTCCATTGTCTGAATGTTTCACAGTTTATTCGCATCTATTAAAGACATCTTGGTTGCTTCCAAATTTCAGCGAACAGTAATAATGCAACAGTGTTGCATATTTTGATCATTCTAATGTGCATGTAATGGTATCTCSTTTTAGTTTGCATTTCCCTAAATGATATGTGACACAGAGTACCTCTTTGAAATTGTTGTTTATTTGGGGTGTGTGTGTTTGGTTCTGGGAATTAAACTCAAGGGTGGTCTACTGAGATACATACCCAGTCCTTTTTAATTTTTATTTTGAGACAGGGTCTCACTAAGTTTCCCAGGCTGGTCTCAAGCTTGTGATCCTCCTGGTTCAACTTCCTAAGTAGCTGGAATTTTAGGCATGTGCCACCATACCCAGCTGGAGCATCTTTTAACTTACTTATTTATCATACGGACAACATCTTTGATGAAGTTTCTGTTCAAATCATTGGCCCATTAAAAAAAATCAGATCATTTTCTTATTGTTAAGTTTTAAGAATTCTTTTTATATTTTGAATAACATTCCTTTATCAGCGAAATATTYTGCAAATACATTCTCCCAGCCTGTGTTTTATTTTTTCTTCCCCTTGAATGAATTTCAAGAACCATTTCTTCAACATTTAGCTTTCTGTTCTGCCCAAATTCCAGAAAATAATATTACACACGTTTATGAGATTCTTAGGAATTAAAGAGATAACAAGGGTTGGTGAGGGTGTAAAGGAAAGGAATACTTATTCTTTAAGGTTGTTTTCTGGGTTAGTTACATAAAAGCATGTAAGTAAAAATRTGTTGAACTTTTCAGTTATTTTAAATAATGAGAAGATCTAATTGGATTTTCCTATAGTTAGATATAGATAGGCCAATAAAGAATATAGGTTTAGAACATATGTCTAACATTTCAGAGATACTGCTAAGTACATTACATAAATTAACTCAAACTCTCAAAACAATTTATCTGACACCATTAGGTTAAGGGTCACCCAATCATCTGTGACCTTGGTGAGAATGACTTCATGGGCTTGTAAGACTAGAAGCCACATTGCAGCSAGGGCTAGAGACTGAGTGTAAGGTGTGGAAACAGACATTGCATGTGTAAGCAGCTTATTCAAGGTTAGTTATAAAAGCAAAGATGGAGAAAAAAGAATAGACAAGGTGGGACAGGGATTTGTATGTTTACAATAATATTTTAGAAATTAGACTTAGGAAATGGGTACAGAAGTTTCACCTCTTGTGTAGAGTTAGAAGATAATATTTTAAGATAATATTTTGCCAGGAGTAACAATTGAAATGAGACCTATGAAAGCACATAATCAATAATCCTTCCTGTTCTTTTGAAGTATCATATTACACTACACATAGTTTWTTAAGTACTTCATTGTGGTATTTTGTCAGCTTGTTCTTAATGCAATGCCTAAAACACATCATTGTTTTCTATAGTGTGGGTTTGTGAAATCTATATTAATATTTTCCATTAGTTTCATGTTATTTGCCTTCAAAAGATCATCTATTTTTAAACCTTTAATTAGTCTCCAAGCAGATGGCACAACTATGAAATCTTTTTCAGAATCAGAGGCTTTGGTATATATTGTTGGAACCTTAAACTTTATGGTTCTTTGTTCACACATCCTGTTAATGAAAGTTATTGCATCCTAATTTTAGTTATAATACAAATTAAAATATCTACCAATGGCAAAAAGGGGTGCTATTTAGAAAAACATTTAAAATTACCACCCCTATTTTTTATTAAATGAAGTTTTAGACAGCAAAATGGCAGGGCATCTAGAGAGGGCATATTCTAATGCTCCATAACAAAACACTTGAGCATAGAGTCAGGCGGCTCAGAGCTAATTTTGGAACTAAGCAGTCAAAGCAAATTTTTCAAAAGGATATCTGAGAAAAAGCAGGTCTTAAGTTTACATTCTTTGTTTAAACCCAGTGTGTACAAAACTGAACTCAAACCTTCTCTACCAAACAGTTCCATGATTCTGGAGGGGAATCTTGTGATCAACCATTCTATGCATCAAGTCATCTTTGATGCTCTCCTCAGCT